TGACCACGGACATATTAGGTACATCCAAAAAAACAAAACGGTCATTAAGGACGTCACATTATATGATCATATATTTCAAAACAAAATAGGTGCAAAATCCCAGTGAGTGTTCCAACAATGAGTGGTACTCTAACACCTAAGTGGGTTCCCCTTAAACATCACAAACTATTGAAATTATAAATATATACAAGGTGGAGTATCTTACATGTGGGTCTGAAAACAATTCTTTGGTAGATACAGTCCTAGAATGAGATACAAAAGAGCAAAAATAGTGTAATACTGTCTGTAATGTATATTGGAGTGCAAAAAATGTATAGAGGTACACTCACAAGTGTAGAGCCCATATGTGTTGGGCTCAAACTTTCAGCTTTGTGGGATTGTTAGGGTCCCGCTCTATCCTCTGTCTGTTGGGATAATTCCCACTGTTTGATTGTAGTCAAAGGTTTCAGTATAGGTATAAATAACTGTTTTCAGATATACATGTGAGATGCTCCACCTTGTATATATTTATATGATCATATATTGCATAAGCCTGCCACAACATCAATGTACCCTGTTGTGGCAGGCTTATGCAATATATGATCAATGTACCCTGTTGTGGCAGGCTTATGCAATATATGATCATATAATGTAACTAAACCCCCCATTATTTTTTGCCTAGGTAAGGTTTTTAAATAAAACGATTACAATCTCTAAGATTTGAAATCATTGTTTAGTGAATAAGCGAGTGTGCTGGATTGTATATTTTGTATATTTTGGCCCCAAGCAGCTCCCTTTAATGCATGCATGTTCAGGTGAGGGCAGCCCTCTTGGTTTCATTTAAAATACATTTAGTATAATGTTATAAATACATATATTTATCTATCTATCTATTTATATACATATATATTTAAATTCTACAAATATAGCTATATAATATTTTTACATAATCAAGTCATTATATGAATTACAATTTGAGGGACCTGCCTGACAACCCAGGCAGAAAGTCCAGAGAATTTGGCCTGCAATCCCTATATTTAACCCTGTAACTTTCCAGGACACCATAAAACCTGTACATGGGGGGTACTGTTTTACTTAGGAGACTTCGCTGAACACAAATACTAGTGTTTAAAAACAGTGAAACGTACCACGACGATGATATCAAACTTTGTCAAAAATATACAAGATGTATTAAAAAATAGATGTATTGTTTATATTTTAGCTATCATATTTTGTAAAACTTTTTTCTAATCACATCATAAAAAGGGTTTTAAATTAAATATTGTGGATATTCCCACTGAGGTCTTGAGATGAGCCATGTGCTACCAGACAAACTTCTGAAGTTGGCCTAATGGTGCACAGTTTAATTGAAGGTTAGATAATCAACAAGTGCACTTAATTACAACAGGTATACATTTATCTTACATCCTCGGTCCATCCACCCTGAATGTCTTAATGCTGTGTATTTTCAGTCATTTACCCATTCAGTTTCCAAATGGTGTACTGGCTGATGTTATACAGATATATTCACAATGTATAGGCATAGTATTCATATTTTAAAGGTTTAATTACTAATGCCTTCAAGTTACTTATTGTATTTTTAGTAATAAATTTATAGCAAGCTTTGAGATCACATGTACTAAAATATTTGAAGAATCTGCAGCTGCTTACATTGCAAGAGTTCTAAGCTACATTCCTGTCATGAATCATGTGATCGAGACATAACCACAAACGTAAAAAAACTCAATAGAACTTAGAATTAGCAAACAAACAGAAAAACCTTCTGGAATCCAGTGCACCAGCATTTATTGTCAATTTTAATTATTGTCACTATTTTTTATTGTGTGGTATTTGTGCATTTGACATAAAGTATCTTACCTATTTCGAGTTTTGCAGTCAAACAATATCTGTAATAAATGCATTTCACATGTAATATACTGTAAACAAGTCCCCATTATGTAAAAAAAAAAAAATTCTGTGAGCTTTCAAATATATATATATTTTTAAACGCAATATAGTTAGGTCCAGAAATATTTGGACAATTTTCATAATTTGGCTCTGTACGCCACCACAATGGATTTGAAATGGAACAACTGATATGCAATTGAAGTGCAGACTTAAGTTTTAATTCAAGGGGTAGAACAAAAATATCGTATGAAACTTTTAGGAACTGCAACCATTTTCATACACAGTCCCCTTATTTAAGGGGCTCAAATGTAATTGGACAAATTAACATAATCATAAATAAGCTGTTAATTTTAAATACTTTTTCGAGAATCCTTTGCAGGCAATGACTGTTTCAAGTCTGGAATGCATGATCATCGCCAAACAATCCTGATTTTAGGGTCCTATAGCAGGTTCCTGTCCTGCTATACCGCATTTGTTTACTGGTGTCCCCTTTTTGGGGACGCCACAGATCTGTCCCCAAAAGTGAAGTGCTAGTGCATCATTATACACGTTCACACTGAGGACATTAGAACAAAGGAGAGAGGACTGTGCTCCCTGCATTTTATGCCTTCAG